GTGGCAACCAGACCACCACTACCACAACCACCACCATCAACGAGGGGCAACCAGACCACAACCACCACCACCACCATCAACGAGGGGCAAGCAGACCACCACTACCACCACAACCACCATCAACGGGGGGCAACCAGACCACCACCACCATCAACGGGGGGCAACCAGACCACCACCACCACAACCACCACCATCAACGGGGGGCAACCAGACCACCACTACCACCACCACCACCATCAACGGGGGGCAACCAGACCACCACCACCACCACCACCACCAACGGGGGACAACCAGACCACCACCACCACCACCACCACCATCAACGGGGGGCAACCAGACCACCACCACCACCACCACCACCACCATCAACGGGGGACAACCAGACCACCACCACCACCACCACCATCAACGGGGGGCAACCAGACCACCACCACCACCACCACCACCATCAACGGGGGGCAACCAGACCACCACCACCACCACCACCACCATCAACGGGGGACAACCAGACCACCACTACCACAACCACCACCACCAACAACAACAGCAGCAGGAGAAGCATGAGTCAGTCCCTGAGTGAAAGTGATGGCGGACCCGGGTACTGCTACCTAATAAATTATTACTCATTCCATCCCCCGCCAGTGGAAAAATGAGGCGGAGGGGGGGGGGGTGGAGGAGGAGGCAGAGGAGTGGAGGGGGGGAAGTAGAGTTGGTGGGGAGTAGAGTGGGGTGGGGGGGGGGAGAAGAAGGGTGGGGGGGGAGAAGAAGGGTGGGGGGGAGAAGAAGGGTGGGGGGGGGGGGAGAAGAAGGGTGGGGGGGGGAGAAGAAGGGTGGAGGGGAGAAGAAGGGTGGAGGGGAGAAGAAGGGTGGGGGGGAGAAGAAGGGTGGAGGGGAGAAGAAGGGTGGGGGGGGGAGAAGAAGGGTGGAGGGGAGAAGAAGGGTGGGGGGGGAGAAGAAGGGTGGGGGGGGGGAGAAGAAGGGTGGGGGGGGGAGAAGAAGGGTGGAGGGGAGAAGAAGGGTGGGGGGAGAAGAAGGGTGGGGGGGGGGAGAAGAAAGGTGGGGGGGGAGAAGAAGGGTGGAGGGGAGAAGAAGGGTGGGGGGGGAGAAGAAGGGTGGGGGGGGAGAAGAAGGGTGGGGGGGAGAAGAAGGGTGGGGGGGAGAAGAAGGGTGGAGGGGAGAAGAAGGGTGGGGGGGAGAAAAAGGGTGGGGGGGGGAGAAGAAGGGTGGGGGGGGGAGAAGAAGGGTGGGGGGGGGGAGAAGAAGGGTGGAGGGGAGAAGAAGGGTGGAGGGGAGAAGAAGGGTGGGGGGGAGAAGAAGGGTGGGGGGGGAGAAGAAGGGTGGGGGGGGAGAAGAAGGGTGGGGGGGGAGAAGAAGGGTGGGGGGGGAGAAGAAGGGTGGGGGGGAGAAGAAGGGTGGGGGGGGGGAGAAGAAGGGTGGGGGGGGAGAAGAAGGGTGGAGGGGAGAAGAAGGGTGGAGGGGAGAAGAAGGGTGGGGGGGAGAAGAAGGGTGGGGGGGGAGAAGAAGGGTGGGGGGGAGAAGAAGGGTGGAGGGGAGAAGAAGGGTGGGGGGGAGAAGAAGGGTGGGGGGGGAGAAGAAGGGTGGGGGGGGAGAAGAAGGGTGGGGGGGGAGAAGAAGGGTGGGGGGGGGGAGAAAAAGGGTGGGGGGGGGGGGGGGGAGAAGAAGGGTGGGGGGGGGAGAAGAAGGGTGGGGGGGGGGAGAAGAAGGGTGGGGGGGGGGAGAAGAAGGGTGGAGGGGAGAAGAAGGGTGGAGGGGAGAAGAAGGGTGGGGGGGAGAAGAAGGGTGGGGGGGGAGAAGAAGGGTGGAGGGGAGAAGAAGGGTGGAGGGGAGAAGAAGGGTGGGGGGGAGAAGAAGGGTGGGGGGGGAGAAGAAGGGTGGAGGGGAGAAGAAGGGTGGGGGGGGGAGAAAAAGGGTGGGGGGGGGAGAAGAAGGGTGGGGGGGGGGAGAAGAAGGGTGGGGGGGGAGAAGAAGGGTGGAGGGGAGAAGAAGGGTGGAGGGGAGAAGAAGGGTGGGGGGGAGAAGAAGGGTGGGGGGGGAGAAGAAGGGTGGAGGGGAGAAGAAGGGTGGAGGGGAGAAGAAGGGTGGGGGGGAGAAGAAGGGTGGGGGGGGGAGAAGAAGGGTGGGGGGGAGAAGAAGGGTGGGGGGGGGAGAAGAAGGGTGGGGGGGGAGAAGAAGGGTGGAGGGGAGAAGAAGGGTGGAGGGGAGAAGAAGAGGGGGGGGGGAGTAGCGGGGGATGTGTTGTACCCAACAGTAAACAACCTTACCAACATAACCCACTATGATTGTATCCGCTCACCCGTTTTCTACACGTCTGAGTAATAGGTTAGGTGGTTTGCTGGGGTGTCTTCCCCCCCCCCCCCATGTTTCCGGTTAGGTTAGCAGGTTGCATTTTAGAGGTAGCGGCAAATTAGGAGAACGCACTGAACCATCCCTTCCCCCGCACTCATTTCATCTGATTTATTAAACATATTACAACTAACAAGTTATAACAGTACACGTGATCATTATATTATATATATATATATATTATTAAATATGACCGAAAAAGTAAGATTAATAATTCTAACACGAATTTTCTCAATCTTTCGTACATTTCGCTTCACTGTTGGAGGTAAATCAAAAATCAATTCTCCAAAATTCATTTTTATTTCTAGTCTGACGCGACACGAGCGCGTTTCGTAAAACTTATTACATTTTCAAAGACTTTAGTTCACAAATACACAACTGAATAGAACTTACGCATCTCCGATTTTATATCTACATTTGAGTGAGGTGGAAGGGGTGATGTGGCATTAACACAAGACAGAACAAAATGTGGTATTAATAGGGTATTAATTTCATCAACACAAGACAGAACACGAAACAATGGATATTCAATAGAAGTGTTTGTAGAAAGCCTATTGGTCCATATTTCTTGATGCTTCTATATTGGAGCGGAGTCTTGAGGTGGGTAGAATATAGTTGTGCAATAATTGGCTGTTGATTGCTGGTGTTGACTTCTTGATGTGAAGTGCCTCGCAAACGTCAAGCCGCCTGCTATCGCTGTATCTATCGATGATTTCTGTGTTGTTTACTAGGATTTCTCTGGCGATGGTTTGGTTGTGGGAAGAGATTATATGTTCCTTAATGGAGCCCTGTTGCTTATGCATCGTTAAACGCCTAGAAAGAGATGTTGTTGTCTTGCCTATATACTGGGTTTTTTGGAGCTTACAGTCCCCAAGAGGGCATTTGAAGGCATAGACGACGTTAGTCTCTTTTAAAGCGTTCTGTTTTGTGTCTGGAGAGTTTCTCATGAGTAGGCTGGCCGTTTTTCTGGTTTTATAGTAAATCGTCAGTTGTATCCTCTGATTTTTGTCTGTAGGGATAACGTTTCTATTAACAATATCTTTCAGGACCCTTTCCTCCGTTTTATGAGCTGTGGAAAAGAAGTTCCTGTAAAATAGTCTAATAGGGGGTATAGGTGTTGTGTTAGTTGTCTCTTCAGAGGTTGCATGGCTTTTCACTTTCCTTCTTATGATGTCTTCGACGAAACCATTGGAGAAGCCGTTGTTGACTAGGACCTGCCTTACCCTACAGAGTTCTTCTGTAGGGGCAGAGTTCTAGAAGAACTCTGTAGGGTAAGGCAGGTCCTAGTCAATAACGGCTTCTCCAATGGTTTCGTCGAAGACATCATAAGAAGGAAAGTGAAAAGCCATGCAACCTCTGAAGAGACAACTAACACAACACCTATACCCCCTATTAGACTATTTTACAGGAACTTCTTTTCCACAGCTCATAAAACGGAGGAAAGGGTCCTGAAAGATATTGTTAATAGAAACGTTATCCCTACAGACAAAAATCAGAGGATACAACTGACGATTTACTATAAAACCAGAAAAACGGCCAGCCTACTCATGAGAAACTCTCCAGACACAAAACAGAACGCTTTAAAAGAGACTAACGTCGTCTATGCCTTTAAATGCCCTCTTGGGGACTGTAAGCTCCAAAAAACCCAGTATATAGGCAAGACAACAACATCTCTTTCTAGGCGTTTAACGATGCATAAGCAACAGGGCTCCATTAAGGAACATATAATCTCTTCCCACAACCAAACCATCGCCAGAGAAATCCTAGTAAACAACACAGAAATCATCGATAGATACAGCGATAGCAGGCGGCTTGACGTTTGCGAGGCACTTCACATCAAGAAGTCAACACCAGCAATCAACAGCCAATTATTGCACAACTATATTCTACCCACCTCAAGACTCCGCTCCAATATAGAAGCATCAAGAAATATGGACCAATAGGCTTTCTACAAACACTTCTATTGAATATCCATTGTTTCGTGTTCTGTCTTGTGTTGATGAAATTAATACCCTATTAATACTCTTGTTCTGTCTTGTGTTGATGAAATTAATACCCTATTAATACCACATTTTGTTCTGTCTTGTGTTAATGCCACATCACCCCTTCCACCTCACTCAAATGTAGATATAAAATCGGAGATGCGTAAGTTCTATTCAGTTGTGTATTTGTGAACTAAAGTCTTTGAAAATGTAATAAGTTTTACGAAACGCGCTCGTGTCGCGTCATACTAGAAATAAAAATGAATTTTGGAGAATTGATTTTTGATTTACCTCCAACAGTGAAGCGAAATGTACGAAAGATTGAGAAAATTCGTGTTAGAATTATTAATCTTACTTTTTCGGTCATATTTAATAATATATGTCTACAGGAAAGACTGCTACCAATATATATATATATATATATATATATATATATATATATATATATATATATATATATATATATATATATATATATATAGGCATTACGACTATATAGCATTGGGAAGGGGGTCAGGATTTAGGATGGGACGGGTGGGAAGGAATGGTGCCCAACCCCTTGAGTGGACGGTCGGGGGATTGAACGCCGACCTGCATGAAGCTGTACCGTCCAGCCCAAGAGGTTGGAGAGGACGAGGAGCAAGAGGTACTCACAGGTGAAGCATCACATCGTAGAGGAAGACGCCGTCGGCCAGGGCCGAGTAGGTCAGGCCTCCACCGCCGTCACTTTCAAACGTCCGAACCTGGAAAGTGAAATAACAAAGTATTAATCATACACGATAAATGGATCACAGGATGTATTATGAAAGTATGAGTGGGCTACAAGCCTATACATCATACTCATTACCACACTCATTAGCCACATTGCTACACTCCACGCAATAGGCCCCCAATCATTATGAGTGAGGAAGCACATTTGCATTCGACGCCTGCTCATCTCGCAACAAATTCCTCTGTGAATGGCGCGCAACACATTATATAACTCATGAGCAGAGATTTAAAAATATATATCACTCTGCAGGACGGCACGCTCAGTAATGCTCATCACCAAGCACAAGTTTACATTAACTAGACAAACACGCGCCAGAGGTTGCTGGTCCCAGGCAAGCAAGCGGTGTGTGTTGTTAACGGGCCGGCCACACACACACACACACACACACACACACACACACACACACACACACACACACACACACACACACACACACACACACACACACACACACTTCTCAGGGGAATTGACAGGGTGGACAAAGACAAACTCTCTAGCACGGGTGGGACACGAACAAGGGGACACAGGTGGAAACTTAGTACCCACATGAGCCACAGAGACGTTAGAAAGAACTTTTTCAGTGTGGGAGTAGTTAACAGATGGAATGTATTAGGCAGTGATGTGGTGGAGGCTGACTCCATACACAGTTTATAATGTAGATATGATAGAGCCCAGTAGGCTCAGGAACCTGTACACCAGTTGATTGACGGTTGAGAGGCGGGACCAAAGAGCCAGAGCTCAACCCCCGCAAGCACAACTATGCGAGTACAGCCAACTCCAGCAGCCCTCGACGCTGTCCCATCTTCCAGGTCAAGGTTTTATTATTAACATCTTTATTGACAAAAATTAATTACAATTTGCCTAATCTGAGGAATTCAATTAGGTCTTGTTAGAGTGAGGATAATGTTGGTGTGGACTGTCACACAGGACAGAGGGTCATACACAAGGCAATAGGTCTAAGCAACAGCCTGGTGGACCAAACTCTCACAAGTCAGGCCTGGCCTCGGGCCGGGCTTGGGCAGTAGAAGAACTCCCAGAACCCCATCAAGCAGGTATATGTGGGCCTGCGGGACGCTCCAAGCAACAGCCTGGTGGACCAAACTCTCACAAGTCAAGCCTGGTCTCGGGCCGGGCTTGGGCAGTAGAAGAACTCCCAGAACCCCATCAAGCAGGTATATGTGGGCCTGCGGGCCGCTCCAAGCAACAGCCTGGTGGACCAAACTCTCACAAGTCAAGCCTGGCCTCGGGCCGGGCTTGGGCAGTAGAAGAACTCCCAGAACCCCATCAAGCAGGTATATGTGGGCCTGCGGGCCGCTCCAAGCAACAGCCTGGTGGACCAAACTCTCACAAGTCAAGCCTGGCCTCGGGCCGGGCTTGGGCAGTAGAAGAACTCCCAGAACCCCATCAAGCAGGTATATGTGGGCCTGCGGGCCGCTCCAAGCAACAGCCTGGTGGACCAAACTCTCACAAGTCAAGCCTGGCCTCGGGCTGGGCTTGGGCAGTAGAAGAACTCCCAGAACCCCACCAATCAGGCATAAACTGTAAGCTGAAGCACATATATATATCATGGTTACAATCAACTACATTTGACTGTACACGTTTCAGTGTACGAATATTTGAAAACAACTTTCTATTGTACACTGCCACACAAGGGATGGGTTCATAAGTGATGCAGCTTAACAATAAATCAAATTGTTCTTCAATCTTAAAAATGGACATGCAAATTTTGGGTAAATTGTTAGGATGTCGTCCAGAACACCTGAGTCAATAAAATAGTTACACAGTTGGTGGTACAAGAGGCCAGGAGGTCTAAAGTCCTTTACGGTTTCACATTCAACAATATAGTGTTCTAGTGAGTGCATTAAAGGTTTATCACAGAGTTTACAATCTGAATTTTCTGGTAGTGGCTCAGCCTCACTAACCTGCCAGATGTGTTGATAAAACAGGTCAGGGTTAGGTTAGGTTAAGTTAGGTTAGGTTAAGTTAGGCTAGGTTAAGTTAGGTAGGGTAAGGTAAGCTTCACGTTAGGTATCTTAGGGAAAGCTAGCAGGTCTCTGATTTTCCCAGAACAATCATGAACAGTCATTTAGTGCCAGCACCACATGGTAGCGGCGCCAGCACCACATGGTAGCGGCACCAGCACCACATGGTAGCGGCGCCAGCACCACATGGTAGCGGCACCAGCACCACATGGTAGCGGCGCCAGCACCACATGGTAGCGGCGCCAGCACCACATGGTAGCGGCGCCAGCACCACATGGTAGCGGCGCCAGCACCACATGGTAGCGGCGCCAGCACCACATGGTAGCGGCGCCAGCACCACATGGTAGCGGCGCCAGCACCACATGGTAGCGGCGCCAGCACCACATGGTAGCGGCGCCAGCACCACATGGTAGCGGCGCCAGCACCACATGGTAGCGGCGCCAGCACCACATGGTAGCGGCGCCAGCACCACATGGTAGCGGCGCCAGCACCACATGGTAGCGGCGCCAGCACCACATGGTAGCGGCGCCAGCACCACATGGTAGCGGCGCCAGCACCACATGGTAGCGGCGCCAGCACCATGGTAGCGGCGCCAGCACCACATGGTTGCGGCGCCAGCACCACATGGTAGCGGCGCCAGCACCACATGGTAGCGGCGCCAGCACCACATGGTAGCGGCGCCAGCACCACATGGTAGCGGGGCCAGCACCACATGGTTGCGGCGCCAGCACCACATGGTAGCGGCGCCAGCACCACATGGTTGCGGCGCCAGCACCACATGGTAGCGGCGCCAGCACCACATGGTAGCGGCGCCAGCACCACATGGTAGCGGCGCCAGCACCACATGGTAGCGGCGCCAGCACCACATGGCAGCGGGGCCAGCACCACATGGTTGCGGCGCCAGCACCACATGGTAGCGGCGCCAGCACCACATGGTAGCGGCGCCAGCACCACATGGTAGCGGCGCCAGCACCACATGGTAGCGGCGCCAGCACCACATGGTAGCGGCGCCAGCACCACATGGTAGCGGCGCCAGCACCACATGGTTGCGGCGCCAGCACCACATGGTAGCGGCACCAGCACCACATGGTAGCGGGGCCAGCACCACATGGTAGCGGCGCCAGCACCACATGGTAGCGGCGCCAGCACCACATGGTAGCGGCGCCAGCACCACATGGTAGCGGCGCCAGCACCACATGGTAGCGGCGCCAGCACCACATGGTTGCGGCGCCAGCACCACATGGTAGCGGCACCAGCACCACATGGTAGCGGGGCCAGCACCACATGGTTGCGGCGCCAGCACCACATGGTAGCGGCGCCAGCACCACATGGTTGCGGCGCCAGCACCACATGGTAGCGGCACCAGCACCACATGGTAGCGGGGCCAGCACCACATGGTTGCGGCGCCAGCACCACATGGTAGCGGCGCCAGCACCACATGGTAGCGGCGCCAGCACCACATGGTAGCGGCGCCAGCACCACATGGTAGCGGCGCCAGCACCACATGGTAGCGGCGCCAGCACCACATGGTAGCGGCGCCAACACCATGGAAACAAGCCAGGATAGAGCAGACTGAGCTAAGAGATACAGCGAAGTTATCTTGGAAGAAAACAATAGATGGTGGACACCAACCCTCCTTGCATCTTATGACCCAGTTCTCACGTCAGCACTGAAGCACACGCGAGTCCACTCACACACGTTAACAGGTGGAATGCATTAGGCAGTGATGTGGTGGAGGCTGACTCCATACACAGTTTCAAGTGTAGATATGATAGAGCCCAGTAGGCTCAGGAACCTGTACACCAGTTGATTGACGGTTGAGAGGCGGGACCAACGAGCCGGAGTTCAAGCACAACTAGACGAGACAGGTCGTAAGGTGGTGATACAGGTCGTAAGGTGGTGATAGAGGGCGGGTGTTGACAAGTCGTGGACCCGTAATGTTGACAACTCTCTCCTCTACGAGTACTGTACCTCCTGGTCCTCATCTTTTTAATGAGGCTATATTATATATTGTCATAACTCTTACTCTCAATAGCAGTCCCTGCGTTACAACGTGTATGTTTGGAACCAATCCCTTTAATACTTTACACCTGTTCCTTCGTTCGTTCGTTCTTTCAATCATTCATTCATTCATTCACTCACTCTCGCCTGGACTTGAGGGAATACAAGCCGAGGCATTTTAAGGACTGGCGTAAAATCAATAACTACTCACTGCTACCTGTCCGGTTATTAAAAAAAAAAAGGGAAGGTTTCTGGACGGTAGAGCGACGGTCACGCTTCATGCAGGTCGGCGTTCAATCCCCGACTGCCCATGTGGTTAGGCACCATTCCTTTCCCCCCGTCCCATCCCAAATCCTTATCCTGACCCTTTCCCAGTGCTATATAGTCGTATTGGCTTGGCGCTTTCTCTCCTGATGGTTCCCTTCCCTTAGAAAATTTGTTTTTGCTTTCATGGGCGGACTTAAGTTATTTCTATTTCAATTTAAACTTTCATTTTGTATCAACTGATTAAAAAGATAAGAACTTAACCGTCTCCAATCCGGGATGGTTTGGTTTTTAGAAAAAAAAGGTAATTTTTTTGTTACCAATCCTGATTTTAAGCGATTCCGGTTACCTTCTGATGGTTTCGGGGCTTAGCGTCCCCGCGGCCCGGTCCTCGATCAGGCCTCCTTTTTCTTACACATCCCCAGGAAGCAGCCCGTAGCAGCTGTTTAACTCCCAGGTACCTATTTACTGCTGGGTGAACAAGAGCATCACGGTGAAAGAAACTGTCCCCATTTGTTTCCGTCTCCACCGGGGATCGAACCCAGAACCTCAGGACTACGAATCCTGAGCGCAGTCCCCTCGGCTGTCAGGGCCCCGTATACAGAGAAGAAACAACTAAAATTAAATATATGTGCTATAAAAACACCAAAATTACCCCAAAAAACCATTAAATACAGACAATAAAACCTTAGACTTGACTCAAATTGGGTGAACACTGAAATAT